GGACGTCAAAAAAATCCCAAAAAAATGTCGAAAAAATCCTACGGTCTCGGCAAAGCGTTCTTCTCTAGCAAGGTATTTTTTTTTTTTTTTTTTACAATTTATATAATTTTTAAAAAATTTTTTAAAAATTCTGTACCCGCGTCNNNTTTTTTTTTTTTTTTTGTATATTTTGTATACTAGTACAACATCAGTATTACACGGGTGTTTGCTAATTTTTTTTTAAATTTAAAATTAATGAGAAAAAGTAGTTTGAAAATTTATATACCTTTTATAAGAATATATATATTAGTATATATTTATTATGACACTTTTTATTTGTGCGACTTTTTTTTTTCCGGAACGATAGAGGCACTATTATAAATCAAAAGCGCACAAATGTGCGAATAAAAATACAAAGCTCCCAACGGGAGAATAAACTGGGAGGACAGGTCAGAAGCCCGCCTAAAATCCCGCTAGCAACGCTAGAATAAAAACTCAAACTAAACAGTCCAACTACTATAAATAACTTACTTGTGCGACTTACTTGTGTTATATTATACTAATTTTTTTAACTTAAAATATATAACTACATTAAATATAAATATATCAATTGAGAAATAATTTTATTTCTAATGAATTTTAATAAGTATTATTTTTTTTTATTATAAAGATAAATATAATTTATTTATTTCATACATACAATATGGATGTCAAATCGAAGACCATCAAAAAATGATTAATTTGATATATTATATATGTAAAACCGATAAGAAATACAAAAGTTATCAACTTTTAAAATACATTTATAATTCAATAGCTTATTGAATGAATCAAATCAAAATTCAAGGATATATTAATCACTTAGTGCCTCACTATGTAAAATTACAAAGAATTAAAGGGTTATATTAGTATAATTAATATTAAAATGCCTAAGTTAGCTAAATAATATTTATGGAATACCCGAACCTATATTATTAATTATTAATATGTCAATATTATTTGTCCAAACCTAATTACGAAACATGATTCTTCGCCAAATAGGATTCTGAAGCACCAAAGGCAGCCACGTAGGCTCAACGCATTCGAGAATTATATATAGGGAGGATTTATTGTACTTTTTATGTTATTTGTCAATATAATAATATTTTCTAATTTATGCTTATATTTCGGTTATTCACACCAATTGTCACAACATTTGCTGAAATTAAAGTAGTAATAAAATATTTATGTGAACCATTTTCTCTTTGGCATTAATTGAGAAATATATGGATATTTATATATATAAATATATATATAGCATTTTGAGTTTTTTACCAACTTATGTTGACAATATTTCACCAAATCAAACCAGTACAACTAAGGAAGACAAATGTATAAATGTTTGTATTTACTTGAAATATAAACTAAAATTCAACCTAAAATTTCAAAATTACTAAAATATTTTTGTTTTGTAATATCCCGCTTAAATTTATGTTGAAAAGTTTTGGAAAAAAATTAAATCAAAACAACTAAAGAAAGCAACCACACAAATATTTTTTTGGATACATTTTATCTCGCCTAAATGTGATTTGTAATGAATAATAAGTGGGAATAAATCTTATTTACATTTTTGCAATATTGCCCTGATACCATTTTAAATAAGATTTTATGTATGTTTGACCACTTTAAGATATACATATTTAACATATTGCACAATTTATACTATTAATTTTCCATATTTGTTAATGTTACCTTTCTCATTTTTTATGACTAGTGAGTATCTCGTGCGATGCACAAGACGGACTTGTCACTTAAAACTTAACTTTATTATAAAAATATATTAGCCCCTTGACCCATTCGTAGTAATATAAAGAATATACCCATAAAAATTTGCACGTGATCATTTCCTTTAAATGTCTGGGTTTAAATTTTTTTCCTAAGAATTTCAACACACTTTTAGGCGTGATATTTCAAAGATTTTAACAAAATAATCATGTTTAGTAAATTTTTATATTTTTGAGTGAGTATTTCAGAGAATTTTTTATATTATTTAAGGGAAATAGGATTGTCTTTTTATATATCAATACATTACACAATCGACATTTTTTTTTTTTGAAAAAATAAGATTGGTAGTACCCAAAATAAGCAAAAAGTTTTTTAAATTAAGCGAATCGATTTTTTTAAAAAAAAATATACACACAGATTTCAATATTATAATGCGATAATATTCTATTTTAAAGTAGTTGCATTTATTTGCAATCACATTCTGACATACGTTGTTTTTTATTTTTATGTACAATTTCCATAATGCGACAATATTTCATTTAAATATTTTAAGGATATAAGATTACACTCCTTCACAATATTTTTCATTTTTATGTAGACAAATAATAGAAAAAAACCACATAACATGATATATATGAGATCTTTTTCAAACTTTAAAAAGAGTGTTGTTACATACATATGGACAAACAAATATTGATTAATTTAAATTTGCGCTGAATATTTAAATTTATTTTTCTAAAATTTATCAAATGTGCTTTGGACAGGAATTTATGATTTTTTTCCTTAAATATAATATTATTAAAAACCAAAATTTTAAGCTGGATATTAGGTAAGTCTTTCACTTTTTTATATATTAATAGATAGATACTTTTTGGAATTTTATATTAAATCAAATTTTGACTAATAAATTTAGTTAAATACGAACTGGAAAGTAGACTTTTTTTAAACTAAATTTATTGACTTCCGAAAGATTTAGATTGAAAGTTTGAACAACATTGTCATACTAGTACAATGCTCGTGTATTACACATGTGCTTGCTAGTTTTTTTCTTAAAATCTAAAATTAATGAGAAAAAATAGTTGAAAATTTAAATATCTTTTATAAGTATATATATATTATTTTATATTTAGTATGACACTTTTTATTTGTACAACTTACATGTGTTATATTATAATAATTTTTTAAACTTACAACATATAACTACATTAAACATAAATATATCAATTGAGAAAAGTGTCATACTAAATATATAATAATATATATATTTATTAACTCTATATACAATATGGATGTCAAATCGAAGATCATCAAAAGACGATTAATTTGATATATTATATATGTAAAATCGATAAAAAATACAAAAGTTATCAACTTTTAAAATACATTTATAATTAAATAGCTAATTGAATGAAACAAATTAAAAGTGAGGGATATAATATAGGGAGGATTTAAAAAGAAGAAGATATGAACCACCAACTAACAAATGCATAATTAAGAGAAAAATTCGAAATAAAATGTGAAAAATAAGATATCTTAAATAAGGATAATAATTTTTATTGAAAAAAAACAACAGATAAAAATGGAGTATTTTTTTTTTCAGAATTTTTATATATCATTTTGGTAGTTAAATATGGACAAACAAATATTAATCACTCTGGGATTCTCTACAAACTTAAAAATTATTGTTTAGTTAGATAAACATGGACAAAATAATATTCCAAACTTTAAGCAGATTTACACAAATTTTAAAATTTGTTATCCTAATTTAGTTGATTTGGCTAGATTTT